AATTATATTTTCAACCTAATCTAGAAAAAGCACTTTGATGTACTATGTGAAAAAAGTTTTAATAAGGTAGAAAATACCTTTTGCTGACTTTGTTCTTGTTCCATTATGAATAGCGTTCCGAACGTCAATGGCGAAACCTCTCAAACTTCTTCCAATCCACCTCTTCACCCCGCTTCTTTAAGGTATTAGTGATTGTGAAAATAGCGCCCCCTTCATTTCCGGAATGCAATAGTCCCAATTCCATATAAGGTCTGAGACTGACAGTGGTCCGTCCCCGCCCCTTTCTGCAGGCTGCAGTCAAGACCCTCTCAAGGACAATGTGTGTCTGAGAGACATGTGATGTCCATGTTTGCTGCTGAAAGAGACTGATGGTCTGACCCCCCTCCTCCTTTCAGGGTGGAGCCTGCTGGAGGCCGATTCTTGACTCCAGGTCTGAGGAAATGTAAGTGTGTTTTTCATCTGATTCATGACAACAAAGCAGCTCACATTCAACCATCTTCAAACTGTCACATCACTCATTCAGGAGTCAAAGTGTCAATAAATGATCAATAACTGCAGCTGGATTGTGTTTGTTCTCCATCAGATTCCTGTCAACTCACCATCGACACAAACACAGTGAACAGAAAACTCAAACTGTCTGAAGACAACAGGAAGGTGACATGGATGAAGGAGTTTCAGTCATATCCTGATCATCCAGACAGATTTGATTTTATCTTCAGCTGCTGTGTCAAACTGGTCTGACTGGTCGCTGTTACTGGGAGGTCGAGTGGAGAGGAGATGTTTATATATCAGTGAGTTACAGAAGAATCAGGAGGAAAGGAATCAGTAGAGATTGTTTGTTTGGATATAATGATCATTCCTGGAGGCTGAGTTGCTCTGATCGTCATGGTTACTCTGATCTTCATGGTTACTCTGATCGTCATGGTTACTTTGTCAGGCACAATAACAGATAAACTCGTCTCTCCTCCTCCTCTGGCTCTAACAGAGTAGCAGTGTATGTGGACTGTCCTGCTGGCATTCTGTCCTTCTACAGAGTCTCCTCTGACTCACTGATCCTCCTCCACACCTTCAACGCCACATTCACTGAACCTCTGATTCCTGGATTTAGGTTCTGGTGGTCCAGTTGTGGTTCTTCAGTGTCTCTGAGCTGATTTGAGTCTAAAGAGTCTAAAGTTTTTCCTCCTGTCAGAGAAACTCTCTCACTGTTGAACAGATAGTTCAGTCTCTACAATCTATTTCTTGGTGAAGCGATTCTGATTGAGTCCTTGGAAACTTTTTCTTCTTCCAGTCCTTTAAATGTGGAAGCTGGGATTATTCCAGGTTTATTCCAGGTTTATTCCAGGATCCACATGTTTTTCAGTTTGTTTTCTTGTCATAGCTTCACTCTATCAAGAGATGCTGGTATACTGGTGGTGAAGCAGCAGGCAGAAACCCAGGATATAGTTAAATGATGGTTTTAATAGTAAAAATAGTCCAAGTGGAAACACAAAAACAGGCAGCATGGCTGAGCTGAAGCCAGGGCTCAACGCCGGTAGCAACTGTTCATCCTGGTGGACAGAAGAACAGGCTTGACAAAATGACGTGAAGAACGATGAGGACCCGATGAGGAACAAAGGACAACCGTGGGATTAAATACACAGATGGTAATCACAGAAACGAGAAACACCTGGGAACAATCAAGGGGAAACAGGACAACGCAGAGACTGGAAGCATCACAGAAAAATAAGGACCGCTCATTTTGAAGGCTGCCTACGTTCAATAACATGAAAAAACTGCATGGTTTATATGAATTCAATTAGTACTTAATACTCTTTACACAAAGTGAAAGTACAAATGTAATGTGTTTTTTTCTAAATTCCTTCATTGTATGAAAAGATGGTTAGCTCTCTTTATACAGGAGAAAACTATTTTAAGAGAGTTGCCACTGATCAATTAATCGTTATTGATTCTAAGACCAATCATCTTTAGATTAATTCAATCAATCTGTAAAAATATTAAATAAATTAGTGGTTTTCACTGGCTATACCCAATAATTATTCATTAAATATAACAAATTCTAAAAACACCAGTCTCTTAATGTTATTCCTTTAAAAATAAGTTTTGTTTCTAAAATGATCAAATTAAAATAAGTTACTTGTTGATTTTATAAGGATATTTTGTAAAATTGTAACAGTTTTCAAATTTCACAATAAAATAAAATAAAAAATAATAAAACAAATAATTGATTAATAATATCACAATTTCTCCAACATACTGAAGCTTGATGTTCAGTTGGTCCAAATCTAAAGCTGGCTGACTTCAGGGTTTGTTTGTTTCTGCTCACCTGGAGCACCAGCCGGGTGGAGTCAGTCTGAGTTCCTCCATCATCTAAAGAGAACATTGAAGATCCTCCTGGAAAAAATGGAGCTTTGGAAAGAAATCAGCAGGAAGTGAAAGAAAAATGGATCTTTATCACTTGTGAAGTGAACGACATCAGAGTTGGATTCAGTGGAGTCACATGAAGAACAGAAAACTGAGGCTAGAATAATAAACATCATGCTAAATATCAGCTGCAGCTAATCTGTCAGAAGAAGCTTCAGGTTGAATCTAAAGGAAGCTGAAGATCTCAAAGTGGATGAGAGGAAACCTGATGAGCTCTACAGTCCACTAGATCCAGATCAGAACCCTGGAGAACATCTATGCTGGAAACAGAACCACAAGCTAGAAAATATCCAGGTTTCTATCCAACCTGAACACAGGAAGTCCTTTCTTCTTCTGCTGCAGCTGAGAAGGTCCTGCTGCAGAACTGGAGCCACACAGTTCCTCCACAGCAGAACAGAGGAGGTTCTGGAGGAGACCAGGGTCCACATCTGGACTCAGAGTTCTCCTGAGCTTCAGCAGAGCTGCTGGCTTTGGTTCTGATCCGCCTCTGTTCTGGTGTCTGATCTCCAGAGAGGATCTGAACCGACCCATCAGAACTCGGTGGAGGTGGTGGAGGATGAGGATGGGGCGCGGCGAGGAGGTGGAGGAAGAGCGCCGTGATCCATCTCTCTGCTGTGGAGACCTGAGGGAATCTGACAGAGAAACAGCAGCCTTGAAATTACAACAACACTATTATTTAATAGTGTTGTTGTAACACTATTGCTGTTATTACAATATCAATGACGATAACGTTTCTCCAACATTGATGTTGAGGGTCAAGTGTTTGGTCGGAGACATCAGAAAGTGAGTTTGTGACAATGGCAGTCTCTCCTCTTCACGCTCGTCTCAACATAAAGGTTGTAGATGTTCAGATCCATGGAGTTGGAAAAAAACAACCGTCAGCTTGGATGCAACAGAAACAAAGCAAAGCTACAATGAAACATTCAAGCTTGCAGAATACTGAATCAAACCAATTAACTGGTGGAAATAAATTTGGTTAGACAAACATTTAAGCAGAACTCCTTTAAAACTTTAATATCCAGGATTCCAACCACAGATGGATGTTGGAGGAATGTGTTGAATGGTCGGTCATCACACACGTCTTCTGGTTCTGACCACAAATAAAGACTTTCTAGGAGGAAATGAAACAGGAGACTGAGGACATTCTGAGGACAGATCCCCATGGAGCCTCTTCTGTTCTGCTGGACATAAACACCAAGGATTTACTCACTAAACATCAATGTTACATATTGTTGCACCTTCTGCTGCTGGTAGCAAGAAGACAATTAGACTAAACTGGATTAAACCCAGTTCACCAACTGTTGCTGAATGGAGGAAAAACTGAAACATGACAACATGATGGAGCGTCTGACTGAACAACTAGAAATTAAAGGAGATTATGAAACATGTAATGTTGACAATAAATATTAAATTTGAAAATTAAATGATAATTTTGTAAATACATTTTTAAGTTTGGTAATTAAATCTTTATTTTGAAACAAATTATTTAGTTTGTATGGATTCCTGCATACAAACTGTGAAGTACTAAAGAAACTAACATATTTTTTTTTACAATCAATCATCATTATAGTCATGATCAAAAGTAAGTACAACTTTATTTTTATCATTACTTCCTCATGACAATGTTAAAAACCTTCCTCTGATTTTCCTAGATCTTCCACTTCCTGGTTCTGCAGCTCTGGAAGAATGAACTACCACCCCGTTTAACTGTGATGTCATACGTGATGCAACTTCCGACACATTTACTTTCAGTTTCAGTTCATTTTTCACGATGTGGCTCCAGTCCGGTTGTTTTGTCCCTGTTTGTTGTTAAGATGTTCTTGATCAAATTTTTTGGATTGCTTGAACAAACTGTAAGTTTGCTTTGTTTCAAACTTGAACTTTTTCATTTTTATTTCATTCTTGTTTGTGCTCTCTGATGTTTGGAGAACAGGTTCATTTTTTCAGGTCAAAGATTCATCTGCTGTTTGAAGGTGAGTCTACATGATTATTAGATTACTAATAAATTGGAATCGAACAACATGATGAACAGCTGATGTTTCTTTGTTTCCTTCTCTGAACAAACTGATTCATGATTTCATTTTCTGGTATCAAACTGTTCTCCATTGAAGTCTATGTTGTTGCTTTCTTATATATTATTATTATAAAATTTTAATGTTAAAATGTGTTAAATTCAGTCAGATTATTAAACAGTTAATCTTTGCAGCAGCAGATAATCCACCTGTATCTTTTATACTGAAAGTATAAACAATAGTTGCTGTTCAAGTTGAATCAATGTGCGTGAGTCAATGTAAATGTTGCTCTATATCTCCATCTAGTGGACTGATAGTAGAAGTGCAGCAGCTGATGGCAGCTTCCTCTGGCTCTCTGCTGTCTGACTGCATTCACCTGACACTGATATGAAGCAGAGAAGAAGAGCCAATCAGAGGAGGAGCAGCTGATCTTTTTCCAGCACTAATGATGTAAAGGATGATCAGAGTTGATGTGCAGATGAATGATGTGTGTTTCCTCTGCAGGTGAAGCTAGAAAGTGTGTGTGAGCTGATGTGGATTCAGCAGCATGGATCAGTGTGAGGAGAGAGAGAGGAGGGAGTCCCTCCCTCTAAAACCACTCTGTGTGGGGAAGATGAGAGCCAGAGCAAAGGTCAGAGGTGAGGTCACCATCTTTAACTGTCCACAGCCCTTTTCACACTGCTTTCACTATATCAGGCCAGAACAGACGTGGTGATGAAGCTGCTGCTGCTCCTCTTTGCTGATTAAGTTTTAATCATCATGTTTCTGTCAGGATCCATCAGAGACTCAAACCAGAACCAGAACCAGAACCAGAACCCAGCTGTGTGTCCTTTAAGAGCGACATGTCAAAGGGTGGGCTCATTTACTTTAAATCTCCTGGATCTCCACCATCAGAGAGGTGAGATGTTTTTAATTCCTGTTAGTGTGGAAACTGAACCAGTATGAACTTAGATGTTCCCAGTTTTTATTTAGTCTGTTGACAGTGTGGAGTGATTAAAGTGCAATATCAACTTTTTTACATAATCTGAGTGATTTTGGTGTTACTGTGATCCATTTTCCTCTTTCTAAGTCCTTTGTATTGTGCTGATGTGATGCTCTGTTTTACTGCTTCAAGTATTTGTAATGTGAAACTCCTGGTGATTTCCTCCGTGAAAACTGTTGGATGAATATTTCCTGACTTCTGTTAAGAACAGAGAAAATAGCTTCACTGTTTCCCAGGTGCATCAGTCTCCGCGTGCGCAGAGGAATAATAAAGAACAATCATACGACATGAGACTTCAGACATATAAGAGCTTTCTCCAGAGAATTCAATGCATACAGAATGTTACATCAGCATTACACCTAGATCATCAAAAAGTCTGACACATAACAACACAGAAAGCGTTCCCTGGGACGAGTTGAAAGAAAAACAGAACAAAATTGCATTTTTGAGAGTCGCTCACTCGGGCACAAAGTGATTGGAGCTTCTGCTGGAAAACAGAGCTTTTTATAAGAATGTGTATTCCCTTCATTTAAATATATGCATTAGGAGGTGTGTTGTTCCCCTTATAGGGCTGTCTCAAAGTTAATTTTATTACCTCTGAGACCTGCTAAAACACCCAGATCTTCCAGTGCCGGTCTCCTCCTTTTTACGTTCCAGGCCATGATTTATGACCTGCAGCTGGACAGTCCTCTCTGCCTCAGAGATTCAGCAAGAAACTGATTTCTATTTTAAAACAAACTGGCACAAAAATGAAATGCCAAATAATAACTATAAGTTTGGATCTAACAATAACAGGGTTATCCACTTTTGGAAAAGCTTTTTTAGAATACCTGACATTTAGAAGTAAAATAGTTTCCTGATCCTATCGTATTTCAATAATATAAAATGCATGGAAATAGTATGGTTAAAAGTTAACTAATTCAAACATGCCGTTAATGCTTAAAGGAAATATCTTAATGTGTTTGATTATACTTTGGAGAAGACTTTTTAAAGTTTTAATGTTTCACTGAACTCTTGAACCGACAACAAAAAATGTATTGATGCTGATGACAGATAGACTCCCTGTCTGCAGACTCCTTATGGGACTCCAACACTGCCTGTCAGAAAACCCTCCTTAGAAATTTATGTAAGTTCAGAGAGTCACCAGTTGTTTTAGTTTGGATCTTTGTCTAAGTTTACCTAACTTGAAATCTACTCTAAATGTTCATGCAACATCTAATATTTCATATGCATAAAGGTTGACTGTCTTTAAAGTTATGCTAATGAGACTTATGTTCTCAACACTTCCTAATTGTTCCTGGTTCCTCCACAGAGTGGACCGGCAGACCTCAGAGGTTCCCAGTGGTCCATCTCCTCAGCAGCATCAAACACAGCTGGACTCCATATTTATGGTCTGTATATGAACAACAACTATTTTCCACGAGTTCTGTTCAGAGTCACCTTCATGCTTCACTTTGTAGACCAGAGGACTGTCAGTCTGTCCAACATCCATCTGGTGTTTGACTCCATGATTTCAGTTCCATGTGTCCATCTATTATTCTGTTCCAGCTGCTGGAGGAAACATTGTTACTTATGTGAAGAACGAGTTGAAGAAGATTAAAAAAGTTCTGAGTCCAGATAACCCAGAACATTCAGAGAGTCAGAGAGATGTTGAGGTGTTAGAAGGTGATGATGAAGAGCAGAGGAGGAGCAGCAGAGAGGCAGTGATGAAGATCACACTGAACTTCCTGAGGAGGATGAAGCAGGAAAAGCTGGCTGACCATCTTCAGAGCAGTAAGAGGATTTCTAAAGAGATTTGAAATTATAAATTACACATTTGCTGAAGTGATGTAATCAAATTCAAAACATGATTTTCTTTCATATCTGATTTTTCTTATTGTGTTAATTTAGGACATTTTGCTCCAGTTTGTCAACATCAACTTAAATCTGGTCTGAAGAAGACGTTCCAGTCTGTGTTTGAGGGGATTGCTAAAGCAGGAAGTTCAACCCTTCTGAACCAGATCTACACAGAGCTCTACATCACAGAGGGAGGGACTGGAGAGGTCAATGATGAACATGAGGTCAGACAGATTGAAACAGCATCCAGGAAACCACACAGACCAGAAACAACAATCAGACAAGAAGACATCTTTAAAGTCCCACCTGGAAGAGATCAACCAATCAGAATAGTGATGACAAAGGGAGTGGCTGGCATTGGGAAAACAGTCCTAACACAGAAGTTCACTCTGGACTGGGCTGAAGACAAAGCCCACCAGAACATCCAGTTCATATTTCCATTCACCTTCAGAGAGCTGAATGTGCTGAAAGAGAAAAAGTTCAGCTTGGTGGAACTTGTTCATCATTTCTTTAGTGAAACCAAAGAAATCTGCAGCTTTGAACACTTCCAGGTTCTGTTCATCTTTGATGGCTTGGATGAGAGTCGACTTCCACTGGACTTCCACAACAAGGAGATCCTGACTGATGCTACAGAGTCCACCTCAGTGGATGTTCTGCTGACAAACCTCATCAGGGGGAAACTGCTTCCCTCTGCTCTCCTCTGGATAACCACACGACCTGCAGCAGCCATTCAGATCCCTCCTCAGTGTGTTGGCATGGTGACAGAGGTCAGAGGGTTCAATGACCCTCAGAAGGAGGAGTACTTCAGGAAGAGATTCGGAGATAAGAAACAGGCCAGCAGGATCATCTCCCACATGAAGACATCACAAAGCCTCCACATCATGTGCCACATCCCAGTCTTCTGCTGGATCACTGCTACAGTTCTGGAGGATGTGTTAGAGACCAGAGAGGGAGGAGAGCTGCCCAGAACCCTGACTGAGATGTACATCCACTTCCTGGTGGTTCAGACCAAAGTGAAGAAGGTCAAGTATGATGGAGGAGCTGAAACAGATCCACACTGGAGCCCAAAGAGCAGGAAGATGATCAAGTCTCTGGGAAAACTGGCTTTTGATCAGCAGCAGAAAGGAAACCTGATCTTCTATAAATCAGACCTGACAGAGTGTGGCATCGATATCAGAGCAGCCTCAGTGTACTCAGGAGTGTTCACACAGATCTTTATAGAGGAGAGAGGTCTGTACCAGGACAAGGTGTTCTGCTTCGTCCATCTGAGTGTTCAAGAGTTTCTGGCTGCTCTTCATGTTCATCTGACCTTCATCAACTCTGGAGTCATCCTGATGGAAGAAACAAAAAGATCTAAGAAATATTTATTATTTAATATACTTCAACCAAAGTCTCTCCATCAGAGAGCTGTTGACCAGGCCTTACAGAGTCCAAATGGACACCTGGACTTGTTCCTCCGTTTCCTCCTGGGACTTTCACTGCAGACCAATCAGAGACTCCTAAAAGGTCTGGTGACACAGACAGGAAGTAGCTCACAGACCAATCAGGAAACAGTTCAGTACATCAAGAAGAAGATCAGTGAGAATGTGTCTGCAGAGAAAAGCATCAATCTGTTCCACTGTCTGAATGAACTGAATGATCGTTCTCTAGTGGAGGAGATCCAACAGTCTCTGAGTTCAGGAAGTCTCCACAGATAAACTGTCTCCTGCTCAGTGGTCAGCTGTGGGTTTCATCTTAGTGTCATCAGGAAAAGATCTGGATGTGTTTGACCTGAAGAAATACTCTGCTTCAGAGGAGGGAGGCTGCTGCCAGTGGTTAAAGCCTCCAACAAAGCTCTGTAAGGACACACATTGTTAATGCAGTTATCTTTGATAGAAATATACTAATGATGAGGTAAATATATGTTAATTTTCAGCTTATATATTGTTGCATTGTCTCCTCAAAGTTTCTCACTGGGGGTGATGTGTGAAGGAGACACAGACTCCCTTCAGCAGCTGACATAGTGATACATATTAAAGCAGCAAAACTCGTCCTCTTTATGTTAAAATTTAAATTGTATTAATTTTGTTAATTGTGGAATTTTATCATTCTCTTTCCAGACTTCTTGTTTCCTGTAGTTATAAACTTTAAGGATGGAGGACTAACTATAAAATGAACCATTTCGCAACAAAAGGCATCATAAACATGTGTAAAATAAGATTGATCCTTCTCTGTCCAAGAAAAACCTTGAAAAATATAAATTTTGTAGAATTGTATAATAACATATTTTCCTCCCTGTCTCCTCAGATTGAGTGGCTGTAACCTCTCAGAGAGAAGCTGTGAAGCTCTGTCCTCAGTTCTCAGCTCCCAGTCCTCCAGTCTCAGAGAACTGGACCTGAGTAACAACAACCTGCAGGATTCAGGAGTGAAGCTTCTCTCTGCTGGACTGAAGAGTCCAAACTGCAACCTGGAAACTCAGGTAAAATGTTCTCAATCCTAGTGAAACCAGATTTCTGTCCAATATATTCTATCAGTTATGATGCAAATGTTTTTTCAATAATAGAAGAAAATGATAATAGATGTCTTACTGTTAGATGGGTATTTCCCCCTATATTGGTTTTCTCAATGTTTTTTTTCCAAACATGAGTTTAAATTGGAGCAGTTTCTGTTCCTTTTATAGAACAATTTGATTCTTGTTCAAATAGTTTTTGTCAGTTGCTGCTCAGGTTTCCATCTCTGTATCCAACAGTTAAACATGTAAAGATGAAACTGTAGATTTGCTCTGCTTTGATTCAAGCTGCTGTTTTCCTCAAACCAGCTCTGATGCTGATCCTCAAACTGAGCCTGATGCTGATCTTCAGCCCAGCCTTGATTCTCAGGCTTCATTGGACTCTTTCTGCTAAAACTGACATGGATTCATTTAGTTCATAGAGGAATTTAATATTTCTCTTGCCACCCTCCTTGTTGCCTGTAGTTCAGTCCTTCATGGCTGGAGACCCAAATATAGACTGAACCAGTTCACAACAAAAGGCAACATGATTATATATAAAACAGTCCATTAAATCAGTAAAGAGGAACATTGTTGACTGGAAAAAAAGAAATTTGATGGATTAATAACATATTTCCTCCCTGTCTCCTCAGACTGAGTGGCTGTAACCTCTCAGAGAGAAGCTGTGAAGCTCTGTCCTCAGTTCTCAGCTCCCAGTCCTCCAGTCTCAGAGAACTGGACCTGAGTAACAACAACCTGCAGGATTCAGGAGTGAAGCTTCTCTCTGCTGGACTGAAGAGTCCAAACTGCAACCTGGAAACTCTCAGGTAACTCTGGGCCGTCCGTCCGTCCGTCCGTCCGTCCATCCATCCATCCATCAGTTCAGACCTTGGTTTCTACCTCAATGTTCTAATTTTCTCATCATGTGATGAATTGTGTGTCTGCAGCTTATCAGGCTGTTTGGTCTCAGAGGAAGGCTGTTTGTCTCTGGCCTCAGCTCTGACCTCCAACCCCTCCCATCTTAAAGAGTTGGACCTGAGCTACAATCATCCAGGAGACTCAGGAGTGAAGCTGCTGTCGGCTGGACTGAAGGATCCACACTGGAGACTGGAAGCTCTCAGGTATGGAGGAACCTGCTGCAGGAGCAGAGAAGGTCTGATAGAGGAGGAAGAGGGAGAAATGTCTTTAGTCAGTCTGCTGGAAACATTTAGTTTGAAGCTGTAATACAGTCATATCATTTATAAATGAATGGATAACATTTTGAACCCATTTTATCTCTTATACAGTTTAATAACTCAAATTATCTCTGGTCATTTTGGTTGTGTAACTTTTCAAACAGCAGCTCATTTAAACTATAAGAATCTTTCACATGGTTCTGAATGAACCTGGGAAACCAACCCATCTACTGGAACCACAATAACATGGTATTCAGAGCAGCAGGGGGCCAAATATAGCTCCATGTGGAACCAAGAGGTTGGAGAGAGAAAATCAGTTGAAACTGTTTCCTATCAGAGTTCAGTTTGTCTCTCTGTCTCACAAACCAGGAGCATCATGGGCTGGGCGGGGCTTCCACTGATGGATCTACTGAGGAAATACAAGAAGCTGATTGGCTGATTTAAAAATAAGTTAAAAATAAGCAGATTAATGATGTCATATAAAAGATATGATATGTAATTGTAGAGACACAGCTGGGAAACAATTTGGACTTTAAAAGAATATTTCATGGAGATCTAGACCAATCAGCCCAAATGAGGAAAGATCAGAAAATGGTCAGATGGATGTGGAAAAGTTCTCAAAAGTGAAACAAAAGATTCACAACTTTCAGGACTTAATGAAACCAAAAATACACAAAACATGAAGCAAACTGTTTGAGGCAGAGTTTAGCAGTTTATTGGTATGGTAGTTTGTCCTCAACTAGGTGGCGCTAGAGTCAGGAGGAGCAGCCTGGAGAAAAGGCTGTTCCTCCCTGATCTGTTTCCAAGCAGTCAGAGTGTAGAAGTTGAGAGCTGGAGAAGTTTCCTCCTGTTGCTGCAGCAGCAGAGATGTTCTGCTTCATGGACTAAATCAGGTTGGAAAGAGGAGAGATCTTTACTGAGCTGCAGGATAAAAGCTGCTGAAACATTTCAACTCTTTCTGGAAACTAATGAGACAGAAAAACA